TGGGCTTGGCTTGGCTTGGCCGCTACGCCGGGTTGAGATCAAGCCCCTGTTTGTGCTCCCCACACAGCCTGGATTTACCCGTCTGTGGGTAGATTCTCGCTGGTTCAACGCGGCGCTTTCACATTTTAAGGTTTAAGCACTTTTAAAGCACACCCTACAAAAAAAAAAAAAGTTAAATGTATTGCTTTTCTAGGATACACAGTTAAAATCGGTGGATTTGAATCACGTCATCAAACTACTCAAAGATTCAGACTTAGTAAGTAAGCCTGATACCTCGTTATCTCAGTTACATGGGTAGTAATGCAGCTTAGAAAAATGTTATATACCATTACTGTAGTGCCCACCCTGAGTAAACCAGATGGCACTAGAGGCTGGGGCTGCAGAGCGCAGCAAAGCTCAAGTATTTGTTCTGGTATTTGAACACTTCTTCTGAAGTTGGCCATTGTAATAGGGAATGGTTTTATATTAAAAAAGAAAATACATATATAGCTATAACGCAGTATATCCTCACAAAGGCACTAAAGAAAAAGACAAAAGCATGTGCATCTGGAAACTAGAAATGTGAAATTTCTAGCTTATCTGGGAGTTTTAGGGTGCTGAAACCTACAGCTGAGAAAAGAAAGAGTACAGAGTTATAGAAAGTATGTCAGGAATTTCTGTAATTGCCCAAGTTAACTGCTGACATTTCTCTAGGGAGGTGATTTTAAAGGAAGGAGGAATATACGAAGTTCAGTGTTGAAGAACAAATATGACTACCTAGGCACACAGGAGAGCAGCATCTCAGGGACTTCCACAGACTATTTTTGGTCTCTACAAGATCTGGCAGACTAAATTCACTAAGCCCTCAGTTACTTTTGATCTAAAAGACTGATAATTTATATTATTAAAACAAGAACTTGATTAAACATACCACATTTTAAGTTAATGCCCCACAGAGAAGTAGTTTGTGTCTTTTTCCCCTCCCTTTTGATACAGAGCTGATAGCATAAACTCACTGACTGAAGAAAAACCTGCTAGCTGATATTGCTTACTGCTTCTCTAGGGAGTACAAGATGTGTGATAAAATACCCTTAGGATTCTGGGCTTGTAGATTCCTGAAACAGCTTTCTGGCCTGCCTCAAGCTGCAGCATGGAGGTGCTCAGAAGAGCTGTGTATCACTGACACACCCTGCCATATCCTCACTTCAGTTGTTTACAACTCCAAATCTGCAGACTCTTTCCTAGTGGTGGCAGAGCTCCACTTGAACCCACTCAGATCCACATTTTTATATATTTATGTCATGTGTGGCATAGGTTTGGTTTTCTTAGTTGTCTTTCACAGAATCCCAAAGAATTTAGTAGAAAGAGCCCACACAAGTGAGAAAAAGAGTTTTAAAAAGCCTCTTCAGTTACAGGAGCGCAGACTCTACTTGGAGATGAGGCTTAATCAAGGAGCTAATCCTGCTGCAAAGCACTTTCAGAATTTCATTGTGTCCTGTGATTTTTTAATCTGGTTTCCACTTTCATTTAAACTTAAAAGGGACTAAGCATAATCATTTAATGTTCTAAGGCAAACTGCAATTAAAACCTGCTTCTCATTCTTTTACTTAAGAAAGATTTGGAAAAAGAGCAGCTGAAAACTCTCAAGAAGGTAGTCAAGCGCTTTGAAAATGGGCTTGTATCCTTTTTGCCACTGTAGAATTCTGAAGACATGGTGCTTTATGTATGATAATCCTCTGACTTTTCAGCAAAGTGTTTTATGATGTGCTGTGCTTCCAGGTGGAGAGCAGTGATGGTCCACATACGTTCTCATCGTTGGCTGCCTTGTGCACACATAGCCAAGGCTGGTAGGTCAGCAGGGTTCTTGGATGCTAGATTAATTTCCTACAAAATTCAGTAAAGGGATCTCACCTGTGCAGTGGTTGAAAGCATTCAAAATGTGATTAGTGTACTTTCAACTCAGAATAGGCAAGCATAATAATTGTCACTACTTAAGAAGCAGCAGATAAAATAGCAATGACTTCCAGTGAGGAGACATTTTAAAGAAAAATGAAGTCAGACTAATTTTTCTGAAACTTTTTTCGTGTTTGTACATGAAAAATTGTACAAATTGAAAGGCTTCCAGTCATCAGAAGTACTAGGGAGGGTGTGGGCACATGAACAAATGTGGTTAATTTTGTACAGTTCAGCTAATTGCCACAGTGATTTAAACTATCATGTTACTTCACAATTGAGTTGTGGCTAAGCGCTTATGGGCAGTTTCCCTGAGTGGGTAGATTGGTAATAACTTCTCAGTCTCAGTGATCTGTGCAGTTTGGATCTTGTGCCTCTACCCTGAATTAGATAATCCTAATATGTGTTTGGGTCCAGATTTTCAAACTTCAGTCTGTTCACTCAGGACTCGAGTAGGAATTTAAATACCTCGAGGCTGTCTCAGAATTTAGATAGGTAAATTGACACTGGGATATAAAAACTGTTCATCCGGTATTTTCAGATACTCAGTGCTGAACTTGCAGTGAGTTCAGCTGATGAGAATGCTAAATCAGATTTGCAGGAGTTCTACATCTGTAAAAGTAACACTGTTTTGAAAAGCCCAAGTTTTGACTTGTCATTTTAGACATCTGACTTTGAAAGCATTGCCTTTCATTTTTCTTGGTTGTGCCTGAAGTGTGATAAATATAGTTTTCAACTTTTTCTTCTGATTTCATAGCAGTGCAAACAATCTGATTTCCTTAACTTTGAATTAAAAGCCCCTTAAGGATTTAGTACAAATAATCGAAATTCTTAACCTGTGTGCAGAAAAAATGAATGAACAAGAGGCTTTCACTGAGCCTTTATGTGAACTTATTAAATTATGTGGGTAAGTACTTCAGCCCTTCATTTAGAGATTTCAACAATGCCTGTTAACACTTTCATATTTTCTAAGGCAACTGACGTAGCCATACACCATCTATCTACAAGGCATCTATATCTGCAAGGCATCTATTTTGTCACCCTTCCTTTTCATCAACTGTGTTTTCCTTGAGTCCCGTTTCTCTGGGCAGGAGGGAGGGACCCATTTTTGCAGTTCAATATCTGCGGAGCTACCTATTGCATCATTCAAAACTGTGTGGTAATTGCCCCGGCTTGCTTGGGAGCAAGATTCCCCAAGGTGTCTTAGTACCTGAGTAAGTTGTTCTGGGACTGCTGGCCTCAAAAGATTCAGCAGCTCAGTCCTGCGGAGGTATGTTTTGCTGTTTCAAACAAGCTCTCTGAGTGAGTTTACAAACCTGAGGTAACACTTTAGTACCTGAGGGTAAGCTTTACGAAATGACAGGCCATGTTGCAGAAGAGAAAGAACCACAACAATCAGAGGATTTGGGATCAATTATTATTTTAAAACATATTGCATTAATTTTGGGGCATCTTTATTGTCATACTGTACTTTAAATTATTTGTTGAATAGAATTCAGGTGTTATCCACACTTGTCAGTAGTTTTCTCCTCCTCAGTAATTTAATAAGGTTACTTACGGAATGCTTGTAACTATAGTTACTCCTGTATTTAATTACAGTTGGGGAGAATAAGGAAGAGAAAAATTATGCCAGACAGAAAATGAGTCACATAGTAAACCAGGTATTCAAATAGGTTTTACATAGCTTCCTCTCAGCTGGTGGGTTTAATAAATACAGAACTTCTCAGCTGAATCTTGAGCACTATCAGTTGTACAGCTTTCCTTTGCTGCCACGCAGCGGAGAATGAGAAAGTACAGAACAGCGTTTCGTTTTCTTCCATGTTTGGCAGAAGCATGACAAAACTGAGAATGTGTGTATAAAGTCAATAAAATGTAGCCGTGAGTGAGACTTTTCGTCTCCTACAGCAGTTCAGCAATAATTGTGGTTTCTGCAATGAATATATTTAGGAAGATTGCACCCATGGGTTTTGCTTTACTCTCTGTGCTGTGGAAATTCCCCCCCACCCCCCCCACCCCCTCCAGTTCTCTACTACTTCATATGACAAAGAGAAGCCTTTAACTAGAGGGAGGGGCTGTTATTTAAAATTTTCTTTCAGAAACCAGAGCTCCTGTAGGAAGATTTTCCACTCTGTCCCAACTGCTTCTCTTTACTTGTCTTCTTCCCACTTTTTTTCCAATGTCTGTTTTTCCCCCCAATTTATTCCATTATTTGCTCTCTCCTTTCTTTTCCTCTGGCTGTGTTTACAGAGGTAAACCTACTGGAAAGCTGCTTCTACACGATGAGCTGTAGAGATCTCAGCATAATGCTGTAGTGTTTACTGATAGACAGTTTTTAGCACTTACATGTTTATGTCATATCTGAGTATTTTGCAAATGTTATTAAATATTTCCTAATATCCTGGGGTTTTTTAGATAAATTTGTCATTGGGCTGTTTGGAGTCAGTTTATTTGTTTTATTTTTATGCATTTCAAGAGGTCTTGCCCAGGGATATGATCCTTTTTTCCCACCCCTGCACATATCTCTGCATAGTCTAGCTCTGCAATAGCCTGATGGTGCCTAGGTTCCAGGATTTAATCTTCCACATTTAAATGACGTTTGTTTATGCAGTATTTTTTATTGCATCAAATATGAATTACGAAAATATTATCTATGCACATGTACCACCAACTGCCAAAATGTAATTGCCAGATTATGGAAGTGGAACTTTCAGTGTAGAATCAGCGTTATAGAGGATGTGATTGTCCTGGGAAAAGTATCCTTATTTGCAAAAAATGTCGAGGAAGAGAAGAAGAGTAATTGAGCTTTCCTGGTGACTTGACTAAAGTGTTCTTCTGCGGTGTTTTAAGCAGGACTGTAATATTTTTTAATTTCGTTTTGCAGGTTACCCTTTCAAAAAAAGAAATTATCTGATGAAGTAAGCTATTCTGTGGCAGTTTCAAAATCCATTGCACAGCTGGGTGAGTGTAAATTGATATGCCATAATAAAATCATTATTATGTCATAATAAAATTAACTGTATTATTAGAACTATTTTAATTTCCTGATGCCTCCTTAGTGAATGTAATTTCTTTCAATTATTCATTCAGTCCTCTGTAATTTTTAGTATTAGAAACCATTCCTATCTCGCTGTGCAGCTAACCTGCAGATTAGCTATCAGAATTACCTTTCCCAGTGTCAGAAGCTATGTGAAGTAACTTTATCAGTACAGCTGAAGAACTAAACCTGTCTATAGCCTGTTCCATTTAAATTTGCTCTGAGAAATTGGTATATTATTATAAATATACTGAAGCCTGGGATAAGGGAAACATGCGTCCTTCCTGCTGCTTTGAAACCAAATGGAAGAAACAAGTGAGAAACAGAAACTCCTGACTCCTAGCTCAAACCTTCAAACCCGAAAGCCTGAGATCTATCACCTACAAAGGAAAAACACAAGTCAATTTAGTGTCATGCCTTACCAGGAGGAGCAGTTTCTGACTTCAGCCTCCTGCTGTGTCTAAGCCATGAGCTTCTATCTTTTAGAAAACTGTTCTGAGAGCTGTTAAGGAAAAGGTGTCCAAATCATGTCTTGATCTCACTGGACCTCATAGTACTAAAATATCTTTTTACAACCTTGCATGTCACATATGTGGTTTTCAAAGAAAATACTGCAAACACTGTAGGTCAAAAAGGATTCAGAATAGAGCAGGAGGGATATATCAGCTCAGTTAACGGTAAGATTTAAACGGTAAAGAGGTAACACAATCAGCCTGTCACACATGAAAAACAGATTCTCCTTGAAATGGGGGAGGAAAAAAATATTTTTAGAAGTCTTTATTTTCACAGGTCTGAGTAGATAGCAGAATGGCCCCTGGTTTCAGGTATTCCAGATTGTCTTTAGAGTAGCATGTCCAAAAAGATGCTAAAATTTAAGAGATTTTTTATATTACCTGTGTTAGGCACTGGTAGCTCTCAATGGAATTCTCTTTGTCTTGTTGAAAAGGATCTCTTTCTGTCCTCCCTTTATGTCATATCATGTCCACTAGAAGAAAAGTTTCTGCCATGGTGATGATGACAGCAGCTTGGTGTAGTAGCTTCCTTCTGAATTCCACAACTTCTGGAATAACATCCAGTCTCTAATAAGGGTCTGTAGCCATAAAGCAGAGGAGGTCACTTTTTGATTAACCTTATGTTGCTCCTCCAAGACCCCTTTGTCCCCTTCAGTGTGGGAGACCCTACCCCTTAGGTATTTTATAATCAAACTTTGCATGAACTTACAGATTTGTAGGGGGTAGGACCAAAGGAAACACTAAATACTGTAAATAGAAGTCTTCACATTACTTTCTTAAAAAAATTATAAACATTGTAAATTACATTTTATTTCTATTTCTGACAGGTTATTTGATGAGGGTGCCAAGCTCTCAAGTTAGAATACAAATCTGTAAGTGTGTCATTAGCTTTTATAATACAGAGCTACCAAGAAAACTACTTTCAGGTAAAGTACAGTATTTTCAAGTGTCACAAGAAATCAGGTGTTTATGATCCCAGCTACTTTGAAATGGCTCTTTTAATTAGCTATGGATTAATTTTTTCTTTATAATGACTGTATCTCACATATTAAATATATAATATTGGCAAATGTGCAATTAACATGTTTTTATAGAAATGCATACTCAAAATCTGAAATTACTTCATCCATGTACAGGGAATTACATAGTACATTTATGGGATTAGGATTAAATAGTGTCCAGAAAATGTGAAGTGGTCACGAGTTCTCTGAAACATGGAAGTGAGAGTAATTAGGATCAGAATTATAAGAAGGGAAATGTAATTTTCAACTTTGTATATGTAGCCTGGAGAGAAGCAGCTCTGGTTTCACTTGTGTTGCTTGTGAGGGATAAATCTGAGCCCATCTAAATTTGATTGAGTTCATATTGTATGGATATACTTGAGCATAGACTTTGAATAAATGGTGTGACTTGTCTCTGCAGAAAGAGTCTGCTGATGCCTGCATATGAGCTCAAGCATCATTCTCTGGTATTGCAGATAGGCATGAGAAGTGTCATCAGAATCCACTACTATTTATTCCTTTGACCCTTATGATGGTGCCAGAGACTGTTACCAGGCACAGTCAGTCATGGGTCCCCTCCTAGGGACACAGGGTCCTGTGCTGAGACAGCTAAAGAAGCTGCAGCTGCAACAGCTCTCACAAGATTCTAGACATATGAAAGTGTATAAGTCTGGTTTTACCTTACAAACAAGACTCAAATGCTGCGAGCAGCTATGTGTGCATGTAGTAAATATGTAAATCGTTCCATCAAGGTCAGTGAATGTTAAATATCAAGAGATTTTATTCTTCTCCTCCAGATGTAGAAAATAAGATATGTTACTTCAGAACTGAAGAATGTATTTCAGTCTGAGTTTTTTAAGTCAAATTCTTCATCTCTAAGCATATATGTACATCTTGCCAAAGTTTGATCCTGCAGAGTTCTCTTACCTATACAGTGATACCAACTTAAAGCCTATCAGAGTTTACGCTTAAGATTCATTTCACCATGTGCATTATCTGCATTTATTGATCCTGCATTTCATGTCATTTGATAGATGTATTTTTTAAACTCTTTAAGATAAATTTTACTTTCATTAATTAGCATATATAAACATACATTTCTTTTCCCAATGCTTCCCTTTCCCCCATAATTCAGTAATGATATACGGATTTTCATATGCATGGCAAAAGTAAAAACAGGGGCACATTAGAAAGTCACGCTTATGAATCAAAAGTTGGATTTGCATATTTTAAGAGATATGATAATAAAAGGCATTAATTCTCTAGTGAATCAGCTACAGAAGAGTCCTGCACCAACAACTTACTGCATAACCTGAAGATTTTTCACCTCTCTGTAACCCTGCTTGTTCTTTCACTCTGTGAATTCTAGGCAGCAATTAATTTGTTCATATAGCATAGTAAGTCTGTTGGATATGCTTTAGGCACTGTTAATACTCAGATATAAGCAAAGCAGCTCTTGTTGTTTATTAGATTAATTTTTTTCAATTGGTTTTAGGACTAAGGAAATAAGATACTCGGTTCTCAGTCGTTTCCTGAGAAAGGAAGAAAATTTTATGAAGTCACCAAAACGCTGAATATTTACTGCATTGTAACTAAAGCTGTTGTATGTGCAGGTTACCAGCCAACAAGTCCAAACTATAAAATTCAGATGGCTGAATTAGGAGGATTAGCAGAAACTCTCGTTCTGTCACTAGCATTAGTTGAAAATCAACTTACTGAGAAGTTGTGGTTACTTAAAGCTCTCCAGCATCTCTCCAGCTCTGGTTAGTACAAACTGTTCTTTCAACAATCTCATTACTTCTGATCTTAGATCATTTGTTCTCCAAACATGCCTAAAACAATTACTGACCTACAGGGAATTAATTATTCATATTTTCATAATTTCAGGAGTAAATTGCAGACTTATGATGAAGGCCCAAGCAGCCAGCAGACTCTGTTTGTATCTAAATGGTGTTGATCCCTCAGGACAGCTGGTGTTCCGCTCCTCAGAAATCCTATGGAACCTGTTAGAAAACACCTCAAAAGAAGAAGTTGTTAATCAGCTCAGTAGCTTGGAATGTGTACAGTAAGTACAGGGAAGCACGTTACAAATTAATACTGTAATTTTGGAGACATCTAAAGCATTGCTATTGTGTAGTGTTTTGTTTGAAGTGAATCGAGAGAAAAATACAAGCAGGGAATGGAGGTGTCTGGGTTAAGTCCTCGTGGTTTTCAGTATTAACATATCTGACTTTCCAGAATAGAAGCAGTACTGTATCAGCCCTCATCGCCAAGCAGCCTGTGATTTAGCCACCTCAGGCATCTATTTCTGTTTCAACAGGTTAGATGGCACTGTGGCTGTGAGCTGCCAGGAAATTATTTATAATCCAAGAGGTGCCTACAGGTAGCGTACAAACTCCGTGGCCAGTGTCCAGCTAAAAGCACATCTAGTCAACTTCAGTTTCATTGTCAGGCCTCTGTGTATTTCACAAGCACAGCGATCCACCACCAGTTGCTTCAGTTAGAGGGCAAGAGAGAGATCAAGGTGCTCTTCTGCTTAGTGCAGGAGGTATAGCTGTATGTATCACTTTGAATGATGAAAAAGTTAATCGCACCATTTTCAAGCTCACATGTTAGACTTGGTAGGCCAGTATTACTGCACTGCTGAAACCCTTATGTTACAAAATGAGTAGGAAATTCTGTATTGTAAAGGGCATAGTTCTAGATCCTCTGCTGGAGTAGGTAACATTCTCCCTTAGTCAGTTGCACTGTTTTGACTACTTAGGATTAGACCATTTCTTCTCAATAATCATTCAACAACATCCAGTTCCATGCTTGAATAAATATTATGTCTTTGTATTCATTAATTATAACACATACAGTGGGAGATGGAATTTGTAATACATGCACCTTGCATATACGCTTAAATTGGATGTCGAGTGGTACACGTAAGAATCCATTTCATAACAAAGTTTTAAGTTATTTCTCTTGCAGTTAAACCCTAAAAAAGCTTTGAAAAGTGTAATGCTGAATGAGGATTCTTATACCTAGGGCTGTCTAAAATTAGAATATGAAAAGGTTAAATGTATTTCACTTTCTTTTAAGTACTTTGAAAGAAGTATTTGTGGACCTTCTCATGCACGGTTTCTGGCATTATGATCGTCAGCTACGGAACGACCTCTTGGTGATCGCCACATTACTAGCTGAAAACCCTGCAGCACCTATGATTGTAAGTATTTATAGTTATATTGCAGAGACTAGTAGCTTCTCCTTTGCTGTTGTATGCTCAGTATTTTTCCCCATTAAGGTTCCAGTATTTATCCTACTCTGTCTCCAGTACTTTCCTCTTAGATTTGCTGAGCAAGAAACTTTTTCTTTCTGCAGTTCACTTGACCTCAGAGAGACTTGAAATGTGTAGGTCATTAGCCTAGAGTACTAGCAGCAACCTTATTTAGCACTTAGAAAATTACATCAACACTCTTCATGTGCAAAAGTTAACATTAACTCCTGTATTCTTGCACAGGTTCTCAGATGTGCCGTTCTGCTACAAGGAGTTTTGCACTAAATCTCGTTTGTTTGAAGGTATAGGAGTATAGGCTGTATTCAGATGGCCCAAATTCAACTGAAGTGTCTGTGCTTCATAACTAGCAACAAGAAGGATCCTCAAAACCTAGCTCAGAAGCTCTAAATAAAATGCTGAGAAAATAATTACTTAGATCTAGTTAATCATAACATAAATTCTTTCTAAGACTAGGTCACAAAAATGTAGTCCAGAATTCCCTCTCATGACTTGCCTAAAAAGTAGGTGACTCATTCTTCTGTAATATGCCAGAATTTTTATGAGGAAACTGCAGAGAAATTAACTTTTTATAGTTGTTGTTAACATTCTTTTACCCTTGTTTTACAGTTGAGATTTAGAAGTTTAAATGAAGTGGTGACATACATACTAAATAATTAAGCAATCGAATTTGTGTAGGTCCATTGGCTGTTCAGGAATGGGTTACTTTCAGGGAATTAATTTCTCAGCTTGGGTAGAAGTTTCCCAGTTGACTGTATTACTAAATAGATTTTATAGTCTGTAAGGAAGGTTACAGATTTTTCATTCAAGCTTTCCATTTTATCACTAACCATTGTGAAATGTCTGTTACACTACTGCAGCAACACATTTGATGTCTAAAACATTCAAATTGTTTATCAGGCTGTAGAAACAGGGCAGTTTTTTCTTACAAGATAAATAACCAGGACACATATTTTTAATTCCTTATACTACAAGGAAGAAAAATTGTTTCAATGCAAGGAAAAAATGAAAATTTTTTCATTTACATTCTATATTCTCAGCCTCCCTGGAGATTTTACGAAATACAAGGTATAAATATCAGGTAGACAAAAACATTACCATTGAATCCTGCCTTGTAGATAATACGAGAGAAATTTTCATCATAATGTTCTCTTTTTTTTCTTAATATGCTATCCAAGCAACTTCAGAAAACTCAGTCTTGCGTTTAACATAATTCAGAAATCAGCAGAGGAATCTGAGCCTCTGAAAAGGAAAATAATTTTCTCACGACGTGTAAACTGGAAAATATACGTAAAGTAAAGCTTATAATGATATTAATTATGATTATCTCTGGGCTAGAACAAAACTCTCTGTTTGGTAATTGCTTACTGGTTTCCCTCAACATTGATCAGCAAGGAGAGAACATTAGTAAGTTTTAATGCTGTTTTTCATTTAACCATTTTGCAATGGCTTTGTACAGAGAATATAGACACCACAGAGACAAAAGCTAATAGGCCATATAGTTGTGTACCTCCATATTTTGTTTAAAATTACTTTTTCAATATTTTTCTGATTGTTAAAATCATTTGGGTGTATGCTAGCTTCCAGAGCTAGGCTGAACAAATCTGAGCCCAGCTTTTTGGGGATGCAGCTAAAAAGCTGCGGCAAAACCAATAGAGCCGCGTGGTTCTGTGGGGATGGGTGTCTGTGCAGTGTTCCATGAGCCACGCTCCTCCTGGGAGCTGCTTGAAAGCTCTGTGGTGGCTTTGCCAGGGTGCTGAGGCCGAGCTCATGTGTTTTGGTGCTCAAAAAGAGCAATGTCCTGGTAACCTTGGCTTCTAATTGCCTCAGAAACGAAGCTCTTTTGCCTCTGGTGAGCTGCGTAGACACCTCCAGCCTTGGTCCTGTCTGTAGTTACATGAGATGTAATTGTCCTTCTGCTGGCTAGCTAGGAGCTGTGAATGACAGGATTGTATTTTCTGGAATTTTAATATGTAATATTTGTAAATGCATGTTGCTCATACATGCAGTTTCACTGTGCTTACTTGTAAACGCGCTGAAGTTGAAGGTAAGGGTATTGGTACACACAGCCAAAGGCACAACGTCGTGTGTACTGATGACCCCGATGTGCAAACTCACACGTGCACAAATGCGTTTTAAAAACCACAACTCTAACAGTACTGAGAATAGGGTTTTCTTGTGGGATAGACTGTAGTGGTGAATACCTGTGTTTGGGACTTCCCCATACAAGTTCAGACTTCAACTGAATGAGACATGGGTTTAACTAATTCTGCCCTTAGGACTGTAGTTAGTATTGTACAATGTCCAAATGGTTGATCTCTTCTTTGATAAAATTCTGTTTATTCTGCCATAGGATACATTAAACTCTATGTTCTGAAAAAAAAAGCAAAACTAAAATTAAATCATAAGTCTTAATTTCTCTGGAATTTGATTTAATTAATGTATGTTTTTTGAACGCCTGTTAGGAAAGTGGATTTGCAGAGCTGTTAATAGTGCTTGCCACATTTACTGAAGGTAAGAGATTTCATACTGCATAATTACACTATTTTTACTTTTAATGATGATTTTTTGGTAACTTATCTACAATTCTCTTCATAGTTAAAATTCCCAATCCTGTGGTAAAAGGTCTTAAACTTACCTACTCTTATGAGGACTTTGAGCTGAAGAAGTTACTGTTTAATGTATTAGGAGTCTTATCTAAAGACCCGCGTGCTGCACAGGTAAGTTGTAACAGAACAGAAGATATAGCAAGCAAAAAATAAAGTCAAAAGAATCACAGGAATATTGTTTAGCTGTCCTCCTGGCATAGTCCAGTAGACTGAAATCAGCTGTTCTCCACATCAAGAATTCATACATGGCTTCGGTCCAAGTCCTGCTGTTTAAAAGCAGCGTACAGTTTCTATTTTAGAAAAGTTACAAAGCTAGACCATGCTGGGGAAATGAGCTGACAAGTGACCGCAAAGCATTATTGAAATACATGTGAAGAACATCATAAAGTTTAACAAATTGCAGTCTGTGTGAATGCTACAGAATATAAACAGTTTGTCTGTACTTGTAGCATTCATGACATACTTTCTCAATAAAAAATAATTTTCTACTGTAGGACAGACAAAGTTGACTCATTGCTTTAGATTTTCCTTATTCACCTGTGAAACCTGTAACCTGTCTCTCTTTCTCTTCGTCTTGACTTTGCAGCTTCTCAGTGAAAATGATGTGATGCCAGCTTTGCTTTACTATGTAAAACCAAATCAAAAGCCTGGATTTCGTGACTGGTCTGTTGCCCAATATGAAGAATTACAGCTTCATGCAATTGCTGTTTTATCTTCAGTGGCTCCCTTGGTAGTAGATAAATATTTGTCCTGCCAAGCAAATACTCTTCTCCTTGTGTTTCTAGAATGGTGTATAGGCCAAGGTCAGTGGATGCTCATGGCTTTCATACACAGTAACCTCAAAATACAACTCAACTGGACTTGCTTTCTTTGATAGGAAAGAAAAATGTAAAACACGTGAAATCAGAATGATTCAATAGGTCACTTAGGAAATTAATCTTTCTAAAAAAAAAAATGACCATAATATTGTTTTTCTATTGAAGGATCTAATGAAGGCACTGAAGGTGCCCCATTCCCTGTGTGCCCCTATATTGATATTCCTTCAGCTGTGTGGGCAGCCGTGCATCTCTGCTGCCTGTGTTTTGAGGTCATCAGGTACACTTACTGTGGCAACAAGCCCACCAGTAGTTCCTGCCATGAGGCAGGATGCGTTAACTCAAACTTAGAGCTGTGCACAGTAAGAGAGCTTCCAGGCTAAGGCTGGCTTGTGGCCATCAGGTAAAAGCATGGGCTAAGCAAAAAGGTAACTAACTGCATCCAGTTTCATGCACCAGTATTCTGGGGATGGATAGTTTTCATCATAAAATTGGTGAGTTTTCCTAGGAAGAATTTTTGATTTGGGTCTAACGGAGATCAGAAGGTTGATATTGCATGTCATGCTAGAGGAGATATTTTGAGTTTCGGCGACTGCTCATTAACAAAGTAATGTTAGAAAAATTGTTGTAATAATTTTAAATGTTCACCAAAATCATACCTTTCTCATGAACGTAAAAGGTATAACCCTACCCAGAAAGGCTTATTACTGGGTGATTTTAAACAAGAAGCCTTTCTAATAGTAAGGGATTTTTTGTGATTGCTCTGCAGAGCCTTTCTTTGGTCAAGGTAACAGTTTCCATGGAACAGGTGGTCGTGGCAACAAACTGGCACAAATGCGCTACAGCCTGAGAGTGCTGAGGTCTGTGGTGTCCCTGTATGATGATGCCGTGAACCTTAATTTGTGTGACCAGGGAGCAATTAGCCAGCTACTGGGTAAAGTACAATTTGTATTGCTGTACTTAAATTAGCACCTTTCTGTTGACACTGTTTGTGCTTTTTCCTGTGCTGTGGTTTTAGCGTGTTATTCCTTTAACTCTGAAAAACTAAAAAACCTCAAACAATTAATCCAAGATGTAATTGATTTGATTTTGAATTTTGTTACACTGTAACACACAGAATTGAATTAATTAAGCAAAACAGACAGCTGTAAAAGCCTATGTGTTTAATTCCAGAATGAAAGCTGCCCCTTCTCCCTTTATTATACTGTGTTTCATCTTATTTCATTGTGGTATCCCCTGGGAACTCCAGCCATGAGTCTTGTGCTACCTAAGTCCATTATGGTGTCGCTTTCCACAGCTCCTCCTTAGAGTAGAAGAAAATTAGTAACAATGTGCTTTTATGTGAGTAACATTATGAAGAGTAAGAGCAGAATAGAACTGCTTAACCACTGCTCCTGCAATTTTAGAGCATTTTCTTGTTCAGTAACACCTACTGTTGCATTTGGTTTTAAGTTCCAGTACACACTGCTTTAAGTTCTTTTCTTACAATAATAAAAAGTTGCCAGTACTATGAAAGAGTCATACTGGAAAAAACAAAATAAGTAAGATCCTTTGGAATTCAAAGAGTATATGTTCTAATAGAAAGCCTAGAAATAAAAGATTTTATACCCTCAGTTGAATGCTGAACTCCAGTGAAAACTCTGTGGAAACTTACAGATTTTAGTGAAAGCAAAATTAACACTGTACCTTACTTACCAGATTCAAGTAACTTTTCTTACTTTGGGGGAGTTCTGTGTTTGAACGTCCTCTTTCACATAGTGGTTCCAAGGTTGGTTTTCTCTGCAGTGATGGTATTTTATGTCTCTCCCCCATTTCCACTGTCAGTACAAATGTTTGTGAGGCTGTACAGTAGAGCAAATCCTTAAGTTCAGTGCCTTTTTGTAAGAATTCCTTAATTCAGATCAGTTCCCTCTATTCATTGCACTGGCACAATACAAGGGGCAGGACAGAGACTGAACAAGGAAGAAGTTAGTGCAAGCTGCTGTCAGGAGCTCTGTCACCGAGAGCAGAGCCCATGGAACTACAGCATCAGAGTGCTGCAATTCTGTAAGCTAGTGTAAAACACAGGGGATAAAACTGAACAGCATAAGTAGGTTCCTTTAAAAATCCCGTGGTGTGAATCTGATTTTTTTATAAATCAGCAGCTGTCATAGAAATATGACTTGTGTATAGGCCATTCACATGTATAAATTATGTTCATTTATAGATATCCTAAAGTATGCAGCAAACAAATCTAAAGAGAAGGAAGATGCCATTCTACTGGAAATCCAAGCTGATACATTGTTTCTTTTGTCTGCTCTCTGTGAAAATACTCCCCACAGAAAGGTATGTATCTTTCTACGTCATACTGTGCAGAAAACATCAAAACATGGTATATTTTCATTTAAAGGATAATGCTTTTTTTATTCAAAAGCAGGTGTCAACTGTAGTTCATCACTAACAAGTCAGGTCTGATAACTGGTTTCTGTGACAGTGACAGTTAAAATGCAAAATCACTCGGAAATCTACTAGGAAGTGTCTCACCTATTTAATTGCTAATTTATGTGAATTTTAAATGGATATATGAAAGTGTGTTAACGACTGAGTTTAGCAGTTTGGAAAGACTGAAAATCTCTTATGTATATCATAACGAATAGACCCTGCTTTAACAAGTGGGCCAACTTTATTACAATTTAAATACTTAAATTTTCAGTTTCCTCTGTGTTTTCTTGTATGTAGCTATTTAGTAAATATTATTTGAGAAATGTGTTGCTTTAATTAACTTTTCAACAGGAGCTATTCAGCTATGAAGGAGTGGATATACTTATCGCATTCATTCAGATGGATCCAAAGAAGCTAAATAGTGGATTAGGCCACAGTTGCCTCCTCTTCAGTGCACTTGACTGCTTGTGGTTAGTAAAGTATTTTAGCATCAGTAACTCTTAAAAATGGCAAGTCTTGTATTTTTTAGGTCTGCAATAGTATTGCCTTTCTCTTCACATAGAGGCATTTCTTCTATTTAAAATATATTAAAATCCTCCATACAGTTTGACCAATTAAAAATGATACAAAATAAACAGAATATTCTGCATGTATTCTCTTCTAAATAGGAGTTCGGTCTGACAACTCCTACACAGCAGTCTGACACACAGAGCAACCTCCTGACATGCAGCTCCCTAAGACCTTCCAAGAGAGGTGTACGGTTAGAGTCTGTAAATAACTTCAGAAAAGTAAATAGAATGCAAGAATAGACCAATATTAGTTAAAACTGTGTAAGCATAAGAAGTGTTTGTAAACTGGCTATATTGGGCTAGAAATACTTTAAAGATTGCTATCAGGGTATGCCAATACATAGGAGGATCACCAAAAATTAATTTGTTTCAAGGAAGAGGTTGATAAATATTTTGAAAGCCAAATGATATGTTTGTCTGGAAGAAAGAACTGTTGCAGGAGATCCCTTCAGTTTCTATGTTAGTAACAATAAGTAAGTGAAATAAGGAAGAGAGAGCAATTTGACTGCTGGTTTTATGGTCATTTTAAGCCGGAAGAAGCAAACACAATAAAAGGTCTTGCTTGTCTCACCCTCTTGATTCTGCTGGCAGAAATATTCACACAGCCCTGCAATAAGCCAGATCAGGGACAAGATGTGGCTAAATGTTAGCCTCTTTTAGTTAGTTTTAGTTCAAATCCATATTCTAATCCTATTCATTGTGAACCTGCCATATTTCTTGGGCTGCTACAAGGAAGGTGTGCCACCTGCAAGAGAAGGCAGAGCAGTCAACTAGAGTATGTTTAGTTGTGCAGTGTAGATGAAAAGGCATGTGAAACATGATTTTTCTGCTCCTGGAAGGTATGAAACATGTTTCGTACCAAATATGTTTATGCAATTCAGTAAAATAAATGAGATACTTGTAGAATGTTCTACAGCATAAAAATGTTTCTACACAGTGAAATTTTTTCTGTTTAAGGTCCTGTGTCATTGGATGTTACATGGCAGAAGATTATTTTCTTGAAAATCAGGGCATTTTTCTCCTTCTGGATTTGTTGGCAGTAGGTATTTTTATTATTGTTGTTACAGAATGAAAGAGTAGTAAACGTGGAAAATTGTGTTATTTTTGTTACATTATCTCCTAAGACTATTATAATACTAACAAAAGACCAGTGTATGTAATTCTTTGAGACAGGAAGGTAATCACACACCAGGATATCTGCTCTGAAATGGTTGGATGGATTTTGCATGTATCTTTTTTGAAAACAAGTATTTGACAGAGGGAGTTTTAAATTTACCAAAAATATGCTGTTTTTAAAAAGACAATTCAAACTGTGCTCTCACTTTGGTTGACATCTCTGATTGGAAAAGCACCTCAGTTCTTACTTCGTGTTGAAGTTTGTAAGAGCAGATTCATACACACTTCAAGGCTTTAGAAGTTTTGATGTTTAAAATTACTCTGTACTTGTATTTTGTATGTATAGCTGCTTCTGTGGGTCTTGGACATAGAGCTGGCACAGGCATTTCACCTGGCACAAAACTAGTGTGCGCCTTCCCTGTTTCATTGCCTTCTCATTCTTGTCGGATTGCCAGTCCCTGACGCCCTGGCAGTGCAAGCTGCAGACCCTTCCCTGCTCTCAGCTGCTGCTGAAAGATCTGGCCATAAACTAGGGCCAGTGCTGTGTGGTGCCACTCAGGCACTGCCTTCAGAGTCTGCTTCTTATAAAAATAAATCTTGTTAGTAGTGTATTCTCCAGCACATGAGCCTGGAGGCATGTGTACAGCACTGAACATGTAATTCTGTATGCGTCTTATATGATCCTACCCTCATTCCCCTCATGTTCCTTGATTTATGGAACTTCGCATGGCACGATTCCAGAAACTTGAAAGATTTACAAGTTTGTACACCGGGTTTGTGCAAATAGTTGTGATGAAAAGCTCACAGTTGCTTGATCACATATTACACAATTACTCTATTTTTATTTTTTTTGAAGGTAGACATCACTGTGTTTTGAACGGTTTAAAACATTTTTTCTTTTTTCCCTTCACCAAGTTAAAGCAAAAGAACCTGTGCAATATAATTCTTGGAATCTTGGTTGAATTTTGTGATAACCATAAAACCACTTCGCACATCAGTACCTGGCGAGGGGAAAAAGATCAAACAGCAGCCAGCCTTCTAATAGAGTTATGGAGGCAGGAGGAGTTGGAGCTAGGAGTCAAACATGATCGATATGGAAGGATTGTTGGTAAGTGTTGTGGTGCGTGTGAAACTAAGCATTCCACTGAATAAAGTTAAACAGAAGCAGTAATTGCTTTTGTAGTCTGGATCCTGATGAAAGTAAATTACAATATTTGTAGCTCTATGCTGTCATTCTTACCAAACCCCACATACCTTCTATCTATTTTGTTTAGAGTCTAGCCACTAGGTAGCATGTTCTGCCTCAGCTAGGAATGAACCAGGTAACAACCAGAATTATGACTAGTGTCCTGAGCAGCTTTTCTAATGCTGGACAGTTAAACTACTTAATGTCTTCCACAAAAGGCCTTGTCTTTTGTTATATGTTGTAAAAAGACGTAAGGAGAGTGCTATGTTCTCACAAATTTTTATTTCCTGGCCCAAATTATGTTCAAATTCTTGGCCAAGCTATGAAAATTATTTACATAGTGTCCACAAAGTCAGTGGAACTGTCCTCTTTTGGAGGAGGCATCACAGAAAAGAATATGTCCATGGCTGCCTGCTAAAGCTCCTCGTACTTCATTACACAGATAGCATTTCCTCTAAGTGCAATAGCTTTGGGAACATACTGCCTCTTCATTCTTCTACTCTGGTTTTGTGTTTTGAAATTATTAGACATGAAGAGACCTATTGCTAGCAGCTTCCAGAAGCAGCAAGAAGTCATTCCCATGCCTGCCAACTGTCCCAGTTTTGCCATCATGGAGATTTCAGAAAACATACGGGCAAAACTTTATTCATTATTGTGCAAGCTAGGTAAGACAAGTGAATTGCCTTCTCAGTGTCATATTTGTCATTAAACTGGACTTGTTCACTAGCCATCAATGAAGTCACTATAAAAAAAAAAAGAAGGTCAAAGGAAACTTTGAGATGCATCGTCAACACTCTGTTAACAGATGCTTGCTCACCCTGTTCTTAAAAGTCGCTATCGATGACAATTTCAAGACTTCTCCAGTACTTTGCTGCCCCTACCATTAGGAAGAGTTTTCCTAGAATTAAACGTAGAAGTTGCTTGAAATTTTCTGTATTTTCCCACACACAATATCTCTTTCACATATTTTAACACTTTTACATTTAATTTTATTTCCCTAGATTGAGAAAGACGTTACTGATCTGGTTTTCCCATGTACCCTTTAATTATTCTCATTGATTTTTTATTGAGTCTTTCTAACTGATTCACATTCTTCTTGATCTGTAGTGTCCCCAAGCTGAACATAGTACTCCAGCAGAAGCCTCAGAGTCAAACAGAGCTACAGTACTCTACTCATCTTGTAAATAAACATTCTGACATTAATATAACAATTCTGTGTTCGTAGTGGCATGATACTGTTTGCTTATTTGACTTAGGATCTTGTGCGGTCATCTGCCATCCTAGATTTGTGCAAATGGTTATTCCTAGATTTAGAATTTTTTCTTTGTCCTTACTGCATTAAATTTTTCGGGTTGGCAAGATTAATTTGCATTCTAATCTTTTCCTTTGAATTGCTGCAGTCCCTTCTAATTCTACATTGTTTGCACACTGAGTATGAATACTCATTAGACCCTTGTCTAAAAACCTAAACTGAAGTCAAGATACGTGATAAACTCTTCTGTATCCATAAGATTTCTTATCTGGCTGTGAACAAAAGCTAGGTCTTAGTTTTTACTAATTCATGTTGGATATAAATGTTTTCACTGTCCCCATTTAGCTGCATAAACATTATTTGTTTAATTATTTGTTTCAGTCTTTTTTCAGGAACTGAACTGAACCAATGTTCTCTGGCTTGTCCTTTTCCCCTTTTAAAAACAGGCATTATGTTTGTTTTTTCACATCCATCCTCCGCAGGTTCAAAGATGGTCAGTAATTGCTCTGAGATTGCTTCAACCGGTTCCCTGGGTAACCTAGAGAACCAGCTGGTTTCAAAACATCCTTAGTTTCTCTAATAAACTATAGCTAGTTCTTCCTCTGTTGTAACCCAGGTTCTTACTAATTTTTATTAGCATTAATTATGTTAAATATCAGGTCAGAGCTAAACTGTTTATTAAAGCAAAAAGGCATGATATTTTGTCCCAGCTTTCTCCTATATTCACACATACCTCTTATGTTAGTTGTATTAGTTATATACGTTGTAATGTCTCCTGTGAATTACCGAAAGGACATGAAAACAGATAATAAAAAATGGAAAGATTTTTATAGTCTTTTCTCAGCACCTTCCCCTTACTGTAGTCATGCTCTGTAACAGCCTGCAACATGATGATCTGGAAAACCAGTGTTCATTGGTCTTTATTTATGGTGTTCCCAGTTACCATATAGATGTTATGCTGAAGTCTAGAATGAGATTTGATAGACTATATATAGTTTTTTGAAAATAAATCAAGTCTAATTAACATTGAGCATGCAAAAAATGAGGCATAGTCTCAGCAACAATACTTCTCTACCTTACTCTTTTACACATACTGTAAACGTATTTTTTAAAAGGTGGAGTCACAGTGCTCAGGGCATTATGCTCAAGGCTCAAGTCTCTGAGATAGAGGACACTCATTACACAGCTTTGAAACAAAGTACTGGGCACCCTGTAATATGATTCTCCTGTTGGCTACTTCACAGCTAAAGCAAACTCTCTGCTGAGCTGCTGTTTCAGAAACTGTGACCTGTGGGCTCAACTGTTTGTCTGCTTTAACAGAAGATCAAGCCCTCACCGCAAAAGCATAGCAAATGCTGTACTATCCTGGCTTTCCAAGTGATTGGAAGGTCACTGGAGCCAATCATAAGTAAAGAGTTAGTATAGAGGGAATGTGTTATGGAGAAAACAGGTTATTTGTCACCAAAAGCCTGATCAGGATTAGAAGAGTGACTGACTGGTCTATGTGTGATGAAGATTTTGCACATGATCTTATGATGAATAAGGTGGTGTCTTTTTTTAGAATGTTATATTTTAAGATAAGTTCATCATTCTGTTAATACTGACATGATTAATATTCTTTTAGGTTTCGAAAATTTACCTGGCTTGTCTACTAATGATTTTGTCACACTTGCTATCATACGGCGTTATATTGACTTTAAAGTGAGTATTGTGGAAGAAAATACTACTGCTGCACCTGTGTTTGCAAAAACAGTAGGTGTATCTCAGGATGCAACAAACAAATATCCCTTCAAAAGCTGTGGCCTATGTCACAAGTCACCTGTAGTTTCACAGAGAGCATAAGCCAGTACTTGCCATCAAAAGGAACACTCCCACCTCCATCATTGCAACGCTCCCCAGACTGTTCCTTTGTACTGCTACAAATGTTTGGGACTGCATAGAAAATAAGACCAGAAACCAATGCTAGTTAAAAATTAGTTGGAAAACAATAGTTGTAACTGTTCACCAGCTCAAGAAACAGGAATGCACCAGGCTAGGAGTAAGAAATTGGGGAGGGGCTGGAGAGTAGGACTGCAGTAAGGTCAGTTTTAGCAGTTTGCTATTAAGAATGACATTAAATACACATTCTGATACAGGTTTTTCTGTGCTTTCCCATCTTTGTCCTCGCATGCAGTATCCATCCGTACTGTCAAAAGTTAAGAATGATGTGCCTGTAGGAAACAAGAACAGGATAACAGGCTTTGTGGGAGCCATCCTGCTCAAAAGATGCTGCAGTTTATGCCAATTTGCTGCTTAGGAACAAAGTCTGTGAGAGCTTGAAGTGTTCAGGAACTAGCGAGACTCAGTCTTTAGTCGATAATTCCAGCTGTCATTTATGTCTCATGTGGCAGTTTGCATGTGCACAGTTTGAGATTCTAAGCAGCAGCCAGTAGGACACAACACTCTTGTAATCTGACATCTTGTAGCTATCAGTATTTCTGATTTTTTGCAGTTGCCAGCATTCCTGTTATTCCTCTGTGGAGTCAACCTTGAGCTTGGGAAGGCTCAGGGAGGATTATCATGAATGAATTTGTCGTAGCATTACTGAAGCCTAAACTTGCATAAAAATTCTAGGAAGTGAAACAGCAAGGAGCACGATGATTGCTCCATTATCTTTTGAATAATTGAAACTGAAAAAAAGAGAAGTATCAAATAGTGTGATGTGTGTTTCTTGTACAGGTTGGAGAAGTTTGGAGTGAACTGTGTGCAGAACTAAAAGAAGAATTCAGGCCTGTTATGTCGGATGAGGAAGCATTGAAAGTTATTTCAGAGGCGGCAGAAGATACTGGAAGAATGGTTGCGGCTCTGCAGACTGAAGTGCTTGAAAGTCAACACTACCAAGAAATCCAAGAAGAGGAAAAAACATATACAAAAGTAAGACAAGGAGTATTTAAACAAGTAAAGCCCATGTAAGTTTTTTTGTCAATTAATATGAAGATTTTCGTATTATATAATGTTGAGTATCCTATATGTGTATGCTGCTTGAAGATATTTTAATCTGTCTCAGCAGTAAAATTTTTACTTTAAATTAAATCAGGTTAACCTCAGTTCTCCCAGTTTGTATAATTTTGCCAGTGTTTAGACAACAACATGAAAAAAATGAAGCAATATCATCAGTGATGCATCAGCAATAGTGTAATGAGAAATTATCATTATATTACTACAGAGTTGCACCTGTGTTGATCTGTAGCAGATAACTATTTAAAGTACCTATTACAACTACATCTGCTTCTTAAAATCACAGAATCACAGGATGGTTTGAGCTGGAAGGGACCTTAAAGACCATGTAGTTCCAACCCCCTGCCGTGGGCAGGGACACCTTCGACTAGACCAGGTCACTCCAAGCCCCATCCAGCCAGGCCTCTGGGCCCCTCCGGGGGGGGGGCCAGCCACAGCTGCTCTGGGCAACCTGTGCCAGTGCCTCACCACCCTCACAGAAAAGAATTTCTTCCCAATATCTCATGTAAATCTCCCCTCTTTCAGTTTGAAACTGTTACCCCTCATCCTATCACTACTCTCCCTGATCAAGAGTCCCTCCCCACCTTTCCTGTAGCCCCCTTTCAGCACTGGAAGGCTGCTATAAGGTCTCTCCAGAGCCTTCTCTTCTCCAGGCTGAACAACCCCAACTCTCTCAGCCTGTCCTCACAGGGGGGAGTGCTCCAGGCCCCTGAGCATCTTCAGGGCCTCCTCCGGACCCACTCAAGCAGGTCTGTGTCTTTCTTGTACTGGGGGTCCCAGAGCTGGACACAGCACTGCAGGTGGGGTCTCACCAGAGCAGAGCAGAGGGGCAGAATCGCCTCCCTCGACCTGCTGGCCACTCTGCTTGTGATGCAGCTCAGGATGCCATTGGTTTTCTGGGCTGTGAGCGCACATTGCTGGCTCATGTTCAGTCTTTCATTCCCCAGCACTCCCAAGTCCTTCTCCCCGGGCTGCTCTCGATCCACTCATCGCCCAGCCTGTGTCTGTGCTTTGGATTGCCCCGACCCAGGTGCAGGACCTTGCACTTGGCCTTGTTGAACTTCATGAGGTGTGCACAGACCTGCAGCCTGTCAAGGTCCCTCTGGATGGCCTCCCTTCCCTCCAGCGTGTTGACAGCACCACATGGCTTGGTGTCATCGGCAAACGCGCTGAGGGTGCACTCGATCCCACTGTCCATGTCGCCAACAAAGATGTTAAACAGCACCAGTCCCAATACCAACCCTTGAGGAATGACACTCATCACTGGTCTCCACTCAGACATCGAGCTGTTGACCATGACTCTTTGAGTGGGACCATCCAGCCAATTCCTGATCCACTGGTTGGTCCATCCATCAAATCCATGTCTGTCCAGTTTAGAGACAAGGCTGTTATGTGGGACAGTGTCAAATGCTTTGCACAAGTCCAGGTAGGTGATGTCAGTTGCTCCTCCCTTATCCACCAATGCTGTAACCCCATAGGAGAAGGCCACCAAATTTGTCAGGCACGATTTGCCCTTAGTGAAGCCATGTTGGCTGTCACCAGTCACCTCCTTGTTTTCCATGTGCCCTAGCAGAGTTCCTAGGAGGATCTGCTCCGTGAACTTGCCGGGCACAGAGGTGAGAATGAAACATAAGCCTCTGTTATAAGCTCCCTTGGCTGAATATTCACAGAGCTTCACTACTTCACAAAGCAGGGCTTTGTGCTTCCCGGCATGCTGAGAGCAAGCAGGTATAGACATTTTCCAGCTTTGGTTATAAGGCGGGCATCTGGCATTTTTACTCATCTACTGTCTCATCCTCTCCTGCTTTCTGAGAAGTAAGATCAATTGGTCTGTTTGTCTAAAATCTCATGATAGTGTTTTTATGGGATTGTCGTACATTGTGGTGCCTGCGCTTTTGTCACCAGAATTCATTCCATCTCTGTTATTCGTCATTTGAGAGTGGGAATATACAGAAAATATTCCTGAAAGAGCTGGAGCTCTTCCAACATCTGTGCTGGAAGAGGGGAAAATTAGTTTGCACAGAGAAGGTAAGCCTTTTTATTTAGAGGCGGTGCATAAGTGAAGTGTTTAAAGGACAAGTACGTTACTGCAACAGTTTCATCCAATCTCAGGTGAGAGGGATGAGCTAAGGTAGCCAGAGGGACGTAGGTGAACATACTATTCACACAGCACAAGCAAAGAATTCAGAAAAGCTCATGAGACAAAGCTTGTGTTGCATCTTGTAAATCCCTTTTATATTACAGATCCAAGCTATCCATAAGCAGAGAGAAATGGTCAATAAATCTTGGGAAAATTTCTTGACTCGGACATCAAACTATGAAGCATTGAAGGTAAGAAATCTGAGTGATGGAGCAAAATTTACATTCACAGTGTAGTTATAATAATTGCGTAGTCCCAAATACAGTTTTTAATGAATTAAGAGGATATTCAAGTAGAAGTCATTGTAAATTTTATATTCACAGAATATATTCACAGAATGAACCGTAAGATATATTGACAAAGCTACAGAACCCGTGATTCTGCTGGTCTTCTGGTCACAATCCCATACTGAGGGTCAACGTTGTTTATGCGCTTGCAGCGGGGGGCTGGTAGTGTATATATATGTGTATTTGTCCTGAAATGGTTGAAACTAAAAGCCTGGTTGTTCTTACTTTATTTTTTCTAATACTTCACTCCCTATTCTTATACAGCAAATATCTTTCAAGATGGGAAATATTTTATGATGAGTTTCTTCTAGCAATTCTGTGCTTTTCCAAAAGAACATTAAAAATATTAGAGACCTGGCTAGGTGATCAGACCGAGTTGGAGAATGAATGAAATCGGACTTAAAAGAACTGCTTTGGCAGCTGAATTTAATTTTTCTTCATTCCCAAAGGAGATGCAAAAGAGAACAATTTTCTTCATGTGCAAGCACCTCCCTGGCCTGTGGTAGAGATCTGTGCTAGAATTAGAAATTAAAAAGGGCCAGAAAAAGGATCTGGAGAACTGCAGGCTGGTTAGTTTTAATTGAGTCCCTGGGAAGCTGTTTTAGGCACATGAAGGACAAGAAGGTGACTGGTAATGGCTGTCATGGATTCACCAAGGACAAATCATGCCCTGCCAACATGGTCGCCTTTTGTGATAAATTTATTTGCGCTGGAGAAGGAGGAAGATGGATGTTATTTCCCTTGGCTTTAGTGATGTTTTCAGCACAGCCTTGTGTAGCCTCCTTGTAGCCAAAATGGGGAGGTATAGACTGGGCTACATAAAAGGGGACTCCAAGTTGGATGAAAAAGTGGCTGGGTGGATGGGCTCAAAGGAGTGATCAGTGATTCAAGTTTAACTAGCGGTTGGGTTTGAGTGATATTCCTCTGAGTTAATTATAGAGTTGATACTAATTAACATGTTCATTAATGTCCGGGCTATTGGATCAGTATGCATCCTCAGCGCGTCCATGCGTGACAGCAAGCGGGAGGCAGCAATCCGTATGCTGGGAGGGTGGGTTGCTACTCAGAAAGACCTTGAGAAGCTGGAGAGACAGGCTGACCAAAAGGTCATGAAGGTCAGGAAAAGAAGATGTCAGTTCCTGCATCTGGGGGGTGTGAAGGTTGTCGTGCACCACTACAGCCTGGGGAGTGACTGGCCGTGTACGGTGTATGGGGGAAGGGGGGGGACAAGCTGAACGTGAGGCAACAGTGCGCTCTTGTGGTGATGAAGGCTGACAGCATCTATGGCCACGTCGAAAGACCAGAGTCCGCAGGTCGCAGCTTGTGGTGATTCCCTTCTCGCCCTCGCCCATGTCCATTTAGTCTGTTTTCGGGTCCCCAGCACAAGAGAGTCACAAATCAGAGGGAGGTACTGACAACTAAAGACCGCTGGATTTATCACCTCGCTTATTTTGTCGTTTTGTTTGTATATTTTCTAACGAGTGCAAATGATGCAATTCATTTGGATTAAAACAATTTTGCCTTTTTTTTCCAACCATCTTTAGAAAGCAAAAAGGCTTCAGGAAAAATCAATAGAGGTTTCCAGATCCAAATCAAAGACTCAGAACAGAGCAGTCCATTCTACTGATATCAAAGGCCTTGGTACAACAGTGAGTAATCCCCAATGACCCTGTTTTATTTTCATTAATGTGTTAGTGGTTTGGGGTTTATTCTGGCTGTGTATGTGCTGCTGCTTACTCTTTTTTTAATAACGTTTATGTTGACAAGCTCCAAGTATGTAAGAAAGAATCTGTATCTTGCAAAGCACCA